GCTCTGTGTACAGCATCTATATGACATATTGTCAACCGCAACAGAAAATTCAATAATTTCCACTCACATAGGGTTTAAAATCATGTGACTGCATTGTCATTAAAGTACCTAGGTTTTCCATAGAATTTGTCAATGGACAAATAAGGGCTTTGCACAAATGGTGGTACGTGATTGTAGCAATCTTATTGCAAGTCAATGGTAAGTGCACTACTGTGATACTTATAAAGATCATTCAAGGAAATAATTCTGAATTTTGAAGCGTTTAAGAAAAAGAAGCTCACTTAACTTACTTAGCCATATAGTATTAAACTGATTAAGACAGATATGAAAATCGCATAGATTTTTTTCCCCCAATGAAACATACATTTTCAAAATTCTTAACAAAAAAGTCCTTTTAGATTTGATCATTCATGTTTTGTTCATTTAGACTGTTTTTCAGGAATAAAACATGCAAACTTGTAAATTCATTACTGAAGAGAACTGTATATGGTATAAACTTGATTTTTCTCTCACAATAAGAACCCAATTCTAGTAAATGGACCTGATCCAGTCTTTATTGACACACACACGCTCTCCCCACACATACACATACATCAACCTAACTAAGATTAACTGTAGCACCACAGAATCAATATAAACAAGTGGATTATACCATGCATAAATTATACTATTTTACATCACCTGCACCTGTAGTTCATTAGAATAATTTAATGCAACTTGATATGGAAAAACAAATACAGTCATTATCGGCTTGAAGAAGCCAAACTAACAGGAGGATACGAAGTCAAAAAGAAACTATATTTGAATAAAGTGGAGGAGAACATGATAGCAAAGCCGATAGCAAGTATTTCTCTGGCCTGCATCAAAAAAGCAAGATTAATTTACATAAATTTGCATCTGTAATAAGCTCAGCTTTTCCAAATACATCATCAAAACATAATCTCTAGTGATTCTTGAAGGCAGGGCATGGAAGGACAAAATAAAAATAAAAAAATCATAAAGTGTGTATATAATACTCATTGCTAAGAGCTTTATCGTGGTCATTGAATTAGAAGGTAAACAACAAGTCTATACAGTATCACATCTGGTTTTGCATTCAAATATAATTAATCAACATATTCAAATCATTCTTATCCACTAATGATGCTGTAAATGATTTCAGCCATTTTGCTAACATTCCATACATAATCTATCTTTAAAAACCTCACCCTGCAACGACAGAACATGCAAAATGATGGGGAAAGTAACTTTCTGATTGTCTGAAAAAACAACAACAACAAAAAAAACCCACTCCCTCTTTCAGAGACACCTATCTGTCAGGTTAGTGTTGGAATAAAAAATATAAAAAATTAAATAAAAAAGAATAAAATTAAATAAAATTAAAAATTAAAAAATTAATAAAAAAA